TTCTCAATACTGTTCCCATTACAAAATAAATTTGAAATATCTTTGTTCATTTTTTAATTTATAGGTTTATATATGAGATTAAACAACAAATAACAATAAGTGTATTATTATATATATTTATTTAAAATATAATAGCGAAAATAGTATCATAAAAACTCCCAACACCAAATAAACTATTGCAAATATTTATGATAAATCAAATATTGTAATCTAAAATTCATGTGGATTATTTATATCTTGAAATTTTTGGTTAATACTAATTTTACTGTGAATTTTATTATTGAGTTGCATAACAAAATCTGTAATTGTGTTGATAAATTCTCTTCCAAATCATTCTCTGGAATTGGATAGCAGAATTTGATATTTCTTTCTTATTTTGTAATCTTTGTCTTTGTGCAGAAAAATAATCTTCCTTATGAAGATAAAAGATAAATCTTGTCATTTACAAAAGCTTTTAGAACACAAAGAGACAAAATAACCAATAATAACAAAACAACAACAACAACAACAAAAAAGAAAATATAATTTGATAATTTCGTTAACACAAACAAGAATTGTCTGCTTTTATTCTCTCCACTTCTTCTAATTCAATATAATTCATGGTCACATCCTAAAATGGCTAACAATGCTTCAATTTAACATTTCTTTAATGGCAGATTGCTTTTCCTCGTTAGCAGCTCATAAAAGTAATTAAACCATTTGCTCAAAGCGTTAATAGTGCCCTGCTGCAGGGGATTTTTTTCTTTCTGCTGGAATTTGCTATTGTGACTTTGACATATCCATTAGAGAGTAATGCCTTGCCTTTTTCTACTGTTGCTATCAATTTTGAGAATATTTTTGCTATCCCCAATATAAAAATAAGAAAAAGATATTATTTTTAGTTTTACTTATACAGCATAAGTAGTTATTCTTTTAGATTAGAAAATGAAAGTGAAATGAAAGAAATTATATGCATCATTGTTGTAGACCAAATACATGCATACAAACATTATTTAGGGCAGTGTTACTCAAAGTGGTGGTCCACGAACTGGTGCCAGTATGTGGACCATCAGTTACCGGTACACGGCCAGTGTCCAGACCATGATAAAAAATCATTTGTAAAGATTGAGGTTATTGTTGTGACCAAGTACATGGTGAAGAATAACAAAAAAAAAAAAGGTTGCAGATAAATCCTGTATTGAACAGTAAATACAACAGAAGAGTGTTACACGACTTGGAAGGGTGTATCGGTTGGCCAGCGTTCAGTCTATCACCCCCCCATGAGGGATATATGTGGCACAAGGCCGAGTTTAACGTGGGTCATCCGATCCCGTAAGCTTGGCCAAAAAATCCCCATAGAAACCGCATAAGTAGGTTCAGGTCTGTCAACCTCCCCAGACGAAACTCGGTACAGCCTCATCCTGGTTCCTCTCTGCCCAAGGCAAAGAGTTAGACAGGAGCTGCAAACAATCACAGCCTCGGAAGAACAGTCTATCACTGTTCCCTGAGGTCTACTTTCCCTATTAACTTTATAGTAAGTGGAAGAGTCCACAATAGCCTCATTAGAGGGACGACGCCACAACAGTTGTATAATTTTTCTTTTTGTGTTTTTGTTTTTTGTAAAATAAATGGCAGATAAAAAATAGTCAACTTTTATTATATTCATTATATATATCGTTTCCGGTATAAATTAATATTACCACGAAATATTACAGGTACAAGAAAAAAATACCTGTTCTTGGAATAATCCATAAAACTGATGTTTGTTCAGATTTTGTTTGTTTAACTGTATATCAACTCTTTGTTGGTCATTTAATGCCAAAATTTAATTTTCCTGGGAGTTTTCAAGTAAGAAAAATATGATATATGTTATTCTGCTTTCACAATTGAATACATGGTAGATGATACTCAGATTTTATGCATAAACATGTTTGTGTAGATATAATTACTAGAGGTGGTGATGTGTGTATTTTATGTTGTAGTTTTGTTAAAGTTATATTTTGGAATAGAGTTTAATTTAAGAAATTGTAGGGTGTTATATGGATTAATGTCATGAAAGTATTCTTTCATGTTAATTGTTTGGATGTTTCATTTTGTTTAGCAGCATATCAACATCTAAATGGTTATTTAATGCCAAAATCTGAATATTTTCAATGCAATTGTATACCTTTAATTGGATCAGGGTGGATCTGGGGACAACAGCAATTTAGAAGTGGTACCATGTTCCTGAAAACCTCCAATCTCCCAAACAAAGGCCTTGCTGCTGGATGTAGTTTATTGTCATACCGAGGACTATGTTCAGATTTTAGAATGTGGGTTAAGCTGAGAATTTTGCAATATAATATTTTATATACATGTATACAAATTACTAGAAATATTATATTTAGTGAACACATGTTTTTGAGTTGGCATCACTGCTTTTTTAACACTATAAACCTATTTCTACAGGCTATTCAAGCTGTATATTGGTGAAAGTTCTGTGCTATTAATTAACCAACTACCTCTAATTAATACTTGGACTAGATCTTGAATACAGGCGGTTTAATTTAAGCATGCAGATTGGTCTCTTTACACTGTATCATTTTTTCTTGATATATTTTGCAGCATTGGAAATATCTGAATTTTTCCACAGGAGTTTGAAATATATTTGTAAAGCATGTTAGCTGGATTTACCCAGGCTGACATAGTCACATAGCTTTCTTTTCTAGCTTGTAGGCCTTTTATTTTTATTAAAAAAAAAAATGGAAAGGTTGAACCTTGGAAATACCATACAGGCATGATTTAAAACACCCACTAAGAGTAGGGGTAAAAGAAGAATAAAAAAAACAAAAAAAATAATGTAAGTGTGAAAATAGAGAAAATGAAAATTAAAATAATGAACAGAAAGCAAAAATGGACATTTGGATGACACATATGGCTCCCTCCCCCACCCTGCTTCAAAATACATAGAATACCCCCCATCTTTTTTTTTTTTTTTCATCAATGTAGCAGAATTCATGTGACTGCCTTGATAGTGCACCCAATAAATAAAAGATGATGAGTTGCTGGTTGATCTGTCTGAATAGAGGACCTTCGAAACTGAATTGTCTCCATTTTCCTGGTTGATAGAAAAAGTTTATCAAGTCTGCTAAAGGCTATGTTAGGATGTCATTGCCTGGTTTGAGTGTTCAATTATCTATCAAAGACAAGAATTTTCCAATGTGGGATATTTATTATAATCATTTCACCTCAGGCAAGGCAATAAATCCACTAAGATGCAAGAGCTTAATAAGTGTTAGAAATATGAAAAAGAAAAAGAAACACTATTAAGGAGAGAGGGCAGTAAAAGAAAAATAATTAAAAAAACAGAAGATAATGATTGAGATTGGATTTAAATTTTGAAGATCAAAGTTGACTGGGAATAAGAAGCTAGAAGAAAGTTCTACAAGTGAGTAGTGCAAGAGAATAAACTGTTAGCAAAGAACTTACATTTACATTTAACCATTTCAACTTTAAATTGATGAGACCTTTATGCCAATCTAGTACTGCACTTAAATTCATAAAGTCTAGGTCTTATGTTCATCAAAACAATTACCATGAAAGTATTTTTAGAAAAGATACAGGAAAGCTATATTACAGTAGTTGGAAAATGACTGAAGGCAAGATGCCAGGTCAGGACCAATAACACTGCAGATTCTTCTCTGGATTTTATCAAGAATATCTTTATATATAGCAGTAGCATGAGATCAGATGTGGCAGCAATATTCAAAGCAAGGATAAATGGTAGATTTATAAATATGTAAGATACATTATGCAGAGAAAAATTGTCTCGCACAACACAAGGGACTAACTTTCCTAGAAACATACTGAGTAATTGATTCAATATAATCTTTCAACTTTATGTCAGCAGAAAAATGAATCACTCTCATGGAGGTTAGCTTGTTGATGAAAGTTAAAAAAAGTTTTCTTAGACAATTAAATGAGAGCAGCAAGCTCACCAGAAAACTAAACAAAATAATGAAAAGTATTTTGAAGATAAAATATCAAGGTCTCCGGCAGTGAAAGGTCATGGTATTTGAAGTCTGTCACTTCATTTAGGGTGTTCATTTTGTCAAATTCTTCCTCCAGCATAGAAAGATCATAGTCATCAATCCCAATTATATTTGTTGGAAGTGCATTTTGAAATATGATCAACAATGTATCTTTCAGCACCATTCTCAGCTGTTTGAACATGATAAGACAGAATTTTCTGGTCATTATTTCTGGCAAAGGACTGGCAGGCTCTTATGGTAGAGAGACTGGTCACCTTACTGTGGATTGCCATCTACCTCAGCTACTGGAAAGGAGATAACTTTGCCTACAACTACTAGCTGGAAAATCTGGCCAAACAGAGAAGTCTGAAGAAGAATGGCCAATTTTGGTGAAGGGTGGTAAGGAGTGTTTAATAGTGATGTTTCAGTCGTTTTTGAATCTCAATTTCACAAAATTTATAGTCCCCAAGAGGAGATCACTCGGTCATATTTAGCAACTTTAAAAAGCTGCAGTGGCCATGCTAGTCCAGACACGGTAAAAAGAAGATTATTTATCAGCCAGAAAAAACAGCTGGGCAAGAATAAGAAAAAGTCAATCATAGTGACCATCACCTTCTCCAGCAATTTTTCTTCCCCATTTCAGTTACTAATATCAATACAGTCACTTTTTAACTACACCAAGTAAATATAAACGGCTCTTTGAAGGAAAGCTGTTCACTTGTCTTTGCAGATCATGTAGAACTGGTCTCTTTGCATATCAAGAAAGATCAGCCTTTAGTAGTTAGAGCTAGTTGAAAAAGAATATCTCGTGAGGTAATGAACCTGGCTGCAGAATTGCATAAAGAACTCAAGAGAGATTCTGACTGACACATTGCCAGTGTCCCATCATCAAATGTGAACATAGGAATAACTGCTGCATGGTGTTTGTCAGGTCTGAATATTGCACTGATGTGTGAAATTGATGGTTACATGCAGTGTTGATTCCAAAGTCTGCATTTTTTATATCTACGAATGCTCTCTCTCTCTCTCTCTCTCTCTCTCTCTCTCTCTCTCTCTCTGATAATGAATACCCTGATAAATATTGCAAAGGAGGCACAGTGGAGCTGTGGACAGAGGCTCAGATTGAAGAATCAGAGAGCTAAGTTCTAATTCCTGTCACATCCATTACATTCACTTACATGCTAATACCCTTGGGAAAGGTATCTACCCTAGTCCCACATTATATATATATATATATATATATATATATATATATACTGCATTCAGTAGGTATTGACTATTATTTAGTACATTTTACCTGGTAAGGGTGATATACAAGGAAACATTTGGAATTCATTGACCGAGCAGCAGCCATTAACTGTTATCAATCTTAATAAAGAAAACATGTCTTCTGCCAGGGTTCAAACCTGTTTTCCGTTAATTCAGAAATCCAATGTCTACCTGGTGTGCTTTCAACTTCTCAGCTACAAAAAGCTATCACAGTCCTGCTAGGTTCAATTATCATTTTATAATCTGGTACTATTTGTTATTACTTTAAATATTTAGTAGATTTACATAACTTACCGTTTTAAACAGTGTAAACTTATATCTACTGGCTTGTGCATTTGAGAGACTTAATAAAAAATGCAGTTTTTGGTAGGGTTTGAACTTGCATCTTCCATGTAGAGGAAACTGTTGTTATATATACAAGCAGGCTGTGATGGTACCTGTATGATTGTTTATAGTCATTCATAGCTTGTACTCTCAATATCAGACAGCCTTGGTCCAATGACAAGAACCAGTCAAGATAATTGGATATTGTCTGCGCTACATATGATTTGTGTCATTTGCTTGTAAGTCACTGACAGGGCCATTAATACCTAAATCATATCACAATGATATGACCTCTTCCGTTGCTGACAGTAACGAGTGTTCTCAGTTAGTCCCCCATCACATGCTTGATGCAGCTTAACTCTAGAAATCAAATGGTGCTTTCAGTGGGATTTTATCAGAAGCACACACACACACACACACACACGCAAACACACACACACAGACAGATACACACACAGATACACACACACACACATATATATATATATATATTATAAAAGAAGCTAACTTCATCATCAACAGCAACAACAACTCACCTGCAAGATCCAAATTACAGAGGACCAATATTATTTATGAATTTACATGCCTTTTAAGGAACTTCATCCCAGATCAAACCAAATTCATCAATAATTATATTGGACATACCACTACATGCCTATCAAGAAGACTCACATTACATCTTTCAGACAGCAACTCAATTAGAACCAATTTATGCAAACTTACAAACCTTAATCCCAATATACTTGTGGAAAATATGACCATAATGCCCTCAACCACATGTGAAAAATGGCTAAAAATAATGGAAGCATTAATAATAAAAAATAAAAAATGAAAACTCAATAATATCAGCTGTGATCATGGCCTCATTGTGTTTAAATGGTTTGAAAAATTAATGGATAATAGAATAAACAAAAGTGTTGAGTTATATAGAACATTTGGACAGTTTTCACGCACTTACAGAAAAGAAAATATAGTTTTAAGGTGTGTTATATTTATGGGATAAAGTGCTCAATATCAGAAATAGCATGTATGTAAATATAAATATAGAAGTGAACACTGAAGTCAACACTCAGAGGTGACAGGCTGTTTCATACTAGGCACAATCGTCAGGCAGCCTGATGATTGCATCCAGCATGATACAGCCTGTCACCTCTGGAGTGTTGACTTCAGTGTTCACTTTTATATATATATATATATATATATATATATATATATATATATATATATATATATATATATATATATATATGAGGAAGGCCAAAGAACATGTTTGAAACATTGTAAAAAAAAAAAACAACAAAGATAAAAAATACTAGTTTGAATAATTAATAAAATATTGACAAAACTTAATTTCCAAATTTTATAGAATTACCTAACTTTTATTCAATATAATTAGAAGCCTTAGTATGTTTTATACCCCGAGTGATGAGATGGACTTCCCTGCACATATACAAATCAGAGAATTGAATGTAAGAGTAGGGGAGATAGCAACATCTGTATTTAGTGGTCATCTGAAAAACTACAATACTAATCTGCAACTGAACTTAATCTAAGAGTGACTGAACACAGTTAAGCAATAGAGACATTACAATAGTTTGTAAATTAAAAAATAACCATATTAAAATAAAACTTTCTTGTTTCTATAATTAATCTTCAGCTTGTAAAATCTTTGATACCAACAGAACATTGGTAGTAAACTGACCAAGTACCATTTGAAAATATTTGAAAACCATCATACATTTGTTTTTTTCTCTTTGAGATTTTTTAGTCATATAATTTTTAAGAGTTATTTTATTCTTATGCTTGAAGGAGAAAGAACTATTAACACTGAAATCTTCTGAGACAGTGAGGCATCTTGAAGGTTGGTTTGAACTTTTATTAGCACAAAAGAAGAAAATGTATATCATATATTTCCTAAGGTTATCTCCAGTGTACAGATTCTGTCAATCCCTACAGAGAATTAGACAACAGTCAACACACTTTATCAGCTTAAAATTCAGCTCTCTTTACTCAAACAGTGGCTCATATTTAAAGATCAATAGCTTATATTGATAAAATAATAATATTGATAAAATGAATAAAAGAGCAAGAGAATATATAGACATTGCCATGCCACGTCTTTCTGAAGACATTGTATAAGGAAAATTTAGTTTTCATTGACCCACACAGGTCAAGAAAACATATTTGCATTCAAATATTCATCTTCAGGGAAGCACACCATTCTGCATTGAACAGGTGGCAATAGAAAATCAAGTAAACTTGGTAATCTTGTTTGCATCTGTGGAACCAAAGCAGTTGATAAAATCTGATAATTCACTTAAAGACATTCACCAAAATATCCCCCAGCTCCACATATTCTTTCAAAAAGAAAAGGTTACCATTTTTGTGTATTTTCTTGGTTTTAATTATCAATTTTTTAAAGAATTCTTTGAAAAACAAAGAATAATATGGAATATTTAATTTCCTCTTGGTTTTCTTTCAGTTTTTCTTTCTTTCTTTCTTTTTGTCTGTCTTTCAGCTCTCTTTTACATTTTTTCATTCAATTCAGTTCTATCTTTTCTTTTTTCTTCTCTTTCTTACCCTTTTCTTCTGCCCCTTCATCTCACCTTTTTACATTTAATTCATACATATTTCCTTCATCTTTCACACTAACAGACCACTTTATTTCTTTGTCAATTACTCTTCCTTTTAACCTTTTATTCTTTCTATCCGATGCATAGTTGCTTTCTACCATCTTTTTATTTTTACATCCTTAAATTCTTGCTTTCTTTTTCTTTCTTCTTCTACATTCCTATCATTTTTGTCTGTTTTAATTTTTCTTTAAAACCCTTCCTTCTTTATTTTTCCTTCCCTTCACTTAATTTTCTCATCCTTCATTTTCGTTTATACTTGCCCTCATTCAGCCGTCAGCATATTACAAATAATTCATTGAAAGACACCAGGTGAAACCCTTGTAGAAGTTTTCATAAACCAAATTCATTTCAAGATTTTAACTTCCAGGTTTCCAGTGGGATTCTACTCTGTTGAATAAAAGATTTGTGTGGCTGACGAGAAAAAAAGAAAATATATAAAATTCAACATTTCACATAGCCAAAAAAAAGTACTTTCTGTAATAAGGAAACCAAAAAGAAACCAAAGAAAATACAACCCAACATAGAAACTAATTCTTCTAAACTCACCAAGCACTGAATGTCAACCTGTAAGTGATGAGGCTACCAATTTACAATATTTTATTGTTCAACAACTAAATTAATCCTGTATTTTGGTGTACTACTAATCAAAATCGGTGTCTGTATAAGCTATTTAATACTTAATTTTTCAAAAACTTGGTTAAATTTTTGAAAATCTATTTATTAATGGTGGTAAGGTAGAGTAATGGACAATGCCTCTGGTTGAAGATTTGGAGAGCCAAGTTCGAAATCCAGTCAGGTCCATCAAATTCACTTATGTGTCAGTACCCTTGGACTTACTCAGGGTTACATTTTCAGCAGTAAAATACTTATGTATGACTTTAATCATCATCATCATCAGGTCAAGAATTCTTCTCAGATCTCTTGACTCATTCCTTACAACTATCTCTGTCAGCCATTGCTATCGGCAGTTTAGGAGAAGAACAACTCTGGACATCTGGAGAAGGGCATCGCTGTCAATTCTAAATTCAAAATTTCCACTTATGAGTTAAATCAGTTCTCTCCAATCTTTTTGCTCCATGGACCTGTGTCAGGCAAGATAATTTTTATACTGATACAGGGAGGGTGACATGCATAACAAAACATACTAAATAAGGCCTCGATAGTCAATAAAATGGAAAAAAAAAACTTTATTCTTTCTGTGCAATCCAGTATCAAATAGTCCACACCCAGGTACCTGTCCACATTCTGATGGTTGGGGACCACTAAGTTAAATAGACTCATCAACATGCAGCTGACTAAGGTTGGTGAGTACAGTTACATCCTTAATGACATGTTCAATTAGGGACGGATCCCTCCAAAGAGTGAGAAGGCTCTGGATCTGTTCGAATGAACTTTTATCCTTGGTAACATTTTTTATTTTTAATTTATATAATTCTCTCTAACAATCTACTAATTTACCTATGTGCAGTGTGCACGTTCAACACTATATTGTTATGAACTATCTTATATCCACTAATGGTACAATAAATACACTTAAACAGGTAGGTTGATACTTCAAACAATAATTTTAACATTTGTGTGGAGAAATAAAAATGTCAGACACTTATACATAGCATCAGAAAGATAGTTGAAATTTCTAGGGCATATAATGAGGAAAGAAGGCTTAGAAAATCTGACACTCACAGGACATATTGAAGGTAAGAGGAGGAGAGGAAGGCATCATATTACCAACCGAGCTTGTGTAAATGGTTGTCAGAACAGAGATTAAGAGAGAAAGCAAAAACACAAATTTACTAAGACCTACAAAGGACAAGAAATTGTGGAGAGCCATAAGTGCCAACCTCACAAAAAGACACAGCACATAGAAGAAGAACAACAACAAATATTTATCCACAAGCCTAGAAATGTATCTCTCAGTAGGCATCGAACTTGTACACTTCAAGGTGATCTCTATTTATGTATATGCCAATGGACATTAATTTCACTGTTTTGAAAAATGGGGATGTCTACTCAAACGCGTGTATCCACTAAAATAAAGTTTATAGTAATAATAATATAAACTGACGAACACCTGATTTTGTTGTATAATATCTAATTATCTACCATTTTAGCATAGAACTCTTTTTCTTCATGTGTCATTTTATAACGTTTTGGGGTGTTAATTTTGTAATATATATATATATATATATATATATATATATATATATATATATATATATATATGTGTGTGTGTGTGTGTGTGTGTGTTGTGTGTGTGTGTATATACATAGAATAGAAATCCAAATTTACCTCATTTGAATAGCTATTTCTGCCAACAAATCCTGTGGGCAAAAATAGCTATTCAAATGAGGTAAATTTGGATATCTATTCTATATAATTTATATGGTCTGTTATAATAAACACATTGAGCTCTTTTTTGTGGATTAGTTTTAATATTTCATATTATTAGCATTCATTGGATTATATACCAATGGATTATTACCTATATATATGTATATATATATATATCACAAAAGAAGATATCATTTATTTTGGGGTTTTACTTTTTGTGATATATATATATATATATATATACATATATATATCAAAAAGTAAAACCTAAATATATATATATATATATATATATATATATATATATATATATATTTAGGTTTTTATTAAATTTTTATATATATATATATATATATATATATAGATATATATATATATATATATATATATATATATATATATATATATATTACCTGAATTACCTGTGCCTTGTTGCATGTTACACATTTTTTTTGTAAGAAAATATTGATTGCTTTTAAATCACTGTTATAATTTGTATAGAAAAATTTATATCAAAGGAGAAAATTTCCTCTGTGTGCGGGGGGTGGGGGATCCTCCCGGAGCCCCCTGTCATCAAAATGAAATATACTTATCCAAGTAGCCTGTTTAATGTAGTTTCAGAATATATATGGTTATGGGGGTCTAACAAACAAACAGACAGTCAGAGGCTGCAAGTTTATATATATAGATATGTTGGGGAAAAAAGTATAACAAAGTGGAAAAAGTTTTATTGTGTCCTTTAGGACTTCATTGGACAAAAAACATGTCACAAGAAAACATTTTCCACTTTATCATACATTTTTCCACAATATTGTTCTTGATATATAAAAATAGATATAATTATATCATATATATATATATATATATATACCCAAGTATATAATTGGTATATACGGAATGAATTCCAATAACCAACAATTACTATTCTTAAAAAGAGTGCTCAATACAAAAGTAGATATAATTATTTTTATACAAAATTATAATAAGTATATAAAATCACTACAAAATTATAATTTTGTTTCAACACACTCTGTGTCTTAGTGATGATGTTGAAAAGAAAATAAATGAAAACCATTTATTTTATTTTCAACATCATCACTTGATGTCTTATCAAGTGATGTTGTTGAAAAAAAAGGGCTATTTTTGTATTGATTTTATAACATACTTATGTTATAATTTTTATAAAATAATTAATATATATATATATATATATATATTATTATTATTATTATTATTATTATTATTAATATTTTATTATAAGATATTAGAACAGAACATGTTGAAATTGCTAAACAATAGCTTTTGTGCTTTGGCATTACATTGTACCGCTTAATGTGATGGTAAGTGACTGTCACAATTACACAATTTAAAAATAAATTTGAAAGTCAAATTCTCAAATTTCCACTGGAACTTTTAATGTTAATAATAAAATTCCATTCTTTGATGTATTTATTGATTCCAGCACACATAAATTTACTACTTCTCTATATAGGAAACCCATTAGCATTAACTCATGTCTTCTTAATTATAATAGTTAATGACTCCCACTATATAAATTAGCTGTTATAAAAAACTTAATCCAACGCACAAAAATGATATCTTCTTCCAAAACCATATTCTATAACGAATTACATAACATTAAACAAACACTTGTTAATAATGGATTCCCTAATTCTGTCATTGATCAACAAATTAAAATGTATTACAATAAACTTAATAATACCTCTAACAAAATTGATAATATTAATAATAATAGTGTACATCAAAATAAACATAATACTATTGACTTATACTATTCTAACCAAATGCATAATATTTACAAACATGACGAAACAACACTCAATAGGTATAAATGTTAAACCTATTAATAATAATAAACAAGTTAAACTCATCATATATTATAAAAAATTTAGAACAATTGACCTCATAGTCTCTAATAACCCTACAACCAAACAACTAAATCAATTACAAAAAACCAATGTAGTGGATCAATTTACATGCCACTTCTGAGATTGTATTACTGATAATAATAATAAACCCACCACATATATTAGTTTTACTACAACCACGCTCTTCTCTAGATTTACCTGTCATCTTTCTGATCTTAGTTCTATTAAACAACATTTCTTCGAAAAAAACATAGCCATGTACATAATATTAGACAGATATTAGTTGATAACACAACAATACTCACATATACACACACTAAAAAGAAACTTCAGATATTGGAGGTCATCTACATTAAAAACAAAGCAACCCACACTCAACAAAATTACAATTCAAACTAGTCACAGCACATTACATTGCATCTAGTTATATGTTTCTGTTTTTAATATTTCGTTCTCTCATGTGGTATGACATCATAGAACTGCATCATGAATTTACAACCTGCATCTGCTATTCCACAACTGTTAACACTGCACAGCAATGTTCTATGTCAACATAACAGAATATCATCTCTGATGGTGGATATCTTTTTCAATATAACCACTCTGAAGATGGTTCATGTGAGATGAAAGCTTAGATCAAGAAACAGCATAATAAAAAATATCTAAATGTTGGACAATTTTTCTCTTTATTCTTTCCCGAAATTAAAGCAAATATATGAACATTAGATCGGATCATGATCAAACATAATAGACATTCATTTTCAGTTATATTTAGCAAAAAATGTTTGAATAATGACCTGCTGCCCAAAACACTATATATATATATATATATATATATATATATATATATATATATATATATATATATATATATACTACATTTTAAAAGTTTGAAGCCACCCCCAGAATTAGCATTGGATGAACTTGACAAAAGAGTGAAAAAAAATGGAAAAAAGCTCTCAGAAAAAAAGAATGAATCAATTATCGAACTTATAGTTTAAGAGACTTTTGCAATGAATGCCAAAAATTTGTGATGCAGTAATCAAGACTAAAGGAGGATGTTTTGACAGGAGCAAAATTTAATTATGAAATGCAATTTTTCTTTTTGTCATCATAAAATTTCTAATGAAAAATCATATCTCACTTTTTTTAAACATGTATAATAATTTTCTCTTATTTCAAGTACAACTACTTTTTGGCCCAATTTAAAATATTATCAGGGCTAGCCTCAAACTTTGGAACTGTTGTGTATATATATATATATATATATATATAGGATTCCACCAACAGACTGGTTTTCAATTGTATTTTCTGTTTCTAAATGTAAAAATAAATAAGTAAGCAAGGAATATTTAAATACACCTAAAAAATATATACAAGGTGATGTTTCTTTTACTAAATGTTAATCTGATGCAAGTCCCAAGAGCCACTCAAGGATAGAAGGTTACTGAGTGAGGTTAGTTGTTATATGGATGTGAGAGAAGGAAGTAAGTGTAGATTATGAGGATATGTAGGTTAGATAATTGTTTGACCTTAGAATTGAAGTTAAGATTGCAGTGAACATGAAATCCACCTCACAGGAGTCTGTTTCACAAAGCAGTCATTCTCAGAAAATAACTGTCTGAGAGGAACTTCATTCTTATCAATGGGATACAAAGGGAATAAGGATGATTTAACCCGGTGTATGTGGCATGGCTGTACTGTAAAGTCTGAACTGATGTAACTAAAGACTGACACAACCAAGAAACACTTCTCCAGAAAAATCTAATATTTTATCATTTTTCCGATTTTGAGAAGTGGGTTATTTCAACAACTTTTCATCAGCTGCTCATATATATATATATATATATATATATATATGTAAAATTATGTGTATTCATTATGATAATGAAGATGCTGTTGTAAAAATTAAAAAAAATAAGTTCAAGGTTCTAGCATGACTTTCACAGTCCTTTGCACAGAATAGTTCTGGATCAATTGTTTATTCAGTGTAATAGAATACAATCGATAATTTATGAAATCAATCCTGAAAATCAATGAAAATAATAATGCTTATTGATTCTTCTAATCAATATAATTAAACTAAAACTGAACTTGAGATCAATTATCTTCTCAAAATCAATTCACAATCATTCAACAAACATTGCTTTTTTCAGTTTGTCTTCATTGGTAATCAATAATTAATAGTTGAACAATGATCAATAATGCTCTTTTTGAAAGTGATGACTTTTCAAAATTGAAAACAAAAACTCTGATAAGTTCATGGATTGATTTATTGTTGTTTGGGTTTTGAATGATTTACTCAAGGTTAAGCTTTCGTCAATAAAATGCTTATGTATGACTTTAATATAAAGGTAATATTTCTTACCAGATGCCTTAAAATTTGGCATCTTTTGCTCTATCTAGCTGGATGCATATTGTGATTTAATCTCTTCTACTCCCCAGCTATGGGTTGAATATCAGGACAGATTGAGTCCTATAACCTTTGTTGGCAACCAGTCTACCACAGAAAGAAATGGCAAGCTACTGCAGGAAAATCTTGTACATAATCAGTCATGAATTGAAAGAGACATGATCACCCAATGACAGACTGACTGATCTACCTATCAATCCATTTATCTTTTTATCTACGTATATACTGTAATCGTATGTACCTTGAATCCATCATAAAAATTCAGAATATGGAATTAGTAAATACTTAACACTTGGTGCAAGACAGATCTAGAGGTAGAGTCACTGAACAGCATAAATCAAAACATTAACATGAAAACAAGTCATATTCTTAAATTGTCTCATCAGATGTTGACTTTCATGTGGATATCATAAATAGCATCAAAGTTGTTAAGAAATATCTAAACCGTCTGCTGTATATAACCATTTTCTCAGATCAATGTTTTAAAAAGAGCTTTAGCTACCAAATTTTCCAAAAAATTGGATTTTGGATAAACCCTTTCTAAAAACAGAAACAATGATCTGGAATTGGAACGAAAGCAGTGATGTCATATACCCTAATTCCATCATAAAAAATTGGGATATAGAATTAGAAAATGCTAAACATATTAACTACGTATGGATTAAACAGTGTATGGATCAGTTACAACAAATTAGACATAGAAAATGAAATTGAACATATTGGCTGCACTAGTAGTAGTTTAACCCAACATTGCAAGTTGCTATAGAATCAAAATAATAAAAGTCAGGTTCTTGAATTACCTTGTCAGATTGAGACTTTGATATGAATGGCATCCATATTCATTGTGAAATATCTAAACTGTCAATTGTATACAACTGTATTCTTACATTGAGTTATAAATGATTTCAGTGGATGATAAATATGAATAATTATAAAGGTCCACTGAGTTGCATTATAAAACATTCTTCATCTTCAGAATGTGGGCGATCAAGGCTCTCCGCAGTTTCCTATCCTTTGTCACTCTCAACAATGTTTTTCTTTTTGCTATCTCTTCTAAGCCCTCATCTGTCAACCATTTATCTAAGTACATTAGGTAGGTTACTTGCTGCTTTCCTCTGACCCTCTTGCCTTCAATATGTCATGTGAGTGTCAAATTTTCTAAACTTTCTTCTCTCATTATGTGTTCTAATAATTTCAACTATCTCTTACTAATGCTGCATATATGTGACTATTTTGTTTCAATTTTCTCTAAAACTTTGTCATTGCTCACATGTTTACACCAAGATATTCTCAACATCCTTCTGTAGAACAAAATGAATAGCTCCAGTCCATTTATGGCAGTAATACTCCATTTTTGGTCTGTTCTGACTTTTGTAAAGATAGAACATTGTAGGAGAAATCAGCGACTTTCTGGAGTGACACACGGAACTGTTTTTCAAGCATCATTAGTGATAGATTATATATATACAAGTTCTACTTGAGACATGGAATGACCTTGAGTCTCAATAGACATTAAAAGAAGTGAGTCTCATTGTGAGTACAGGTGTTCATCATGACTTCAAAAACTGCTTGTTGATTATAGAAAATTAATAGTTTCATTTAGATGTACTGAATGTTACAAGCTAGCTTCTTTTTCTTCATTGAGCTGTTAGAGCTAGATCAGACAAGAGATCACCTACATTTTTGAAGGTGTGTGCCAATAAAAAGAAATTTACTCTTTCTAAAGAAGACTAACATTTCTATGAATGCTGTGCTAAAATTTTCTTGTAAATGCTAAAATGTACTTAGGAAATAATTTAAAAAAATTAAATATGGAGAATTTTAAAAAGAATTCAATTTTCATTGATGGGTGGAATTAAGACTATTATCTATCTCTTTCTCTTTCTCTCCCCTTCTTTCTCTCTCTATTTCTCTCTCTTTCTTTCTCTCTCACTTTCTCTCTCTCATATATATATATATATATATATATATATATATATGACAAAATATAGTTTTAAGGTACACTATATTTATGAATAAAGTGTTCAATATCAGGATTAAAAAATTAATATAATGTTATTTTGTAGAATTTTTTATATTCTCACTTTTAAGGCTGTCTGCTTTAAAAGTGAGAGATAGAATATAAAAAGAATTATACAAAATAACATATTACCCTGAAAATTATAAACTGTTCCTCTTTTTGTAAGGTGGCAAATTCAGAAAATCAGCAAGGGATGAAATAATTATTTTCCCACTGTATATATATAATATGTCTATCTCTTTTCTCCTCTCTCTCACACACACACACACACACACACATATATAAATATATATATATATATATATATATATATATATATATATATATATATCTATTCTCTCTATATATATATGTGTCTATATCTCTATTTTTCTCTCTCTTTCTCTCTCTGTTTCTCTCTCTTTCCATATATATATATATATATATATCACCCTTATATCATCTCTTTCTCTTTCTCTACATATATGTCTATTTATCTTTCAAATGAACATGTCACATCTCCTTGAATTTGGAATGCCACAAATTATGCTAATATTTGTTTAACAAGTCAAATGCACATCAAACATAATGAACCAATGAAAATCAAACACAAAAGTAAAAATAGCAGAATTTTTTCCTTCTTTTTCTGCATCTCTCCTTCTCTGAAGAAGCTTTAATAAAAGTCAAGCATGTTAGATTGATAAATGTTTCTGATTTTTTCTTTATCTGATCATCAAATGAATATTATTCCTATAATTCTTAAAATATTATATTGAATATAAGCACTTAAAATTTTTTCCTGAAAAAGACATAACCTAATTTGTAATAAACAATGAATAACATAACATTAGTTCAAAATTCTAAATAGTTTGTTATTATGAAACACATGTGCTGAAAAATATTTGAGAATAAATCTGAAGTTGAAATTACAATAAACGATGGTTTGAAAAATTTAAAAAGAGCACGAGCATCCACAGTGTAGTGAGACATGGAGTGGCTGCGAGCTTTGAAAAAGTTGCCTTGTTTAAGAGGTGTTTTGAAGTGACTGAAGATACAAACCTAACCCTAGGAGAATTTTGGAAGGATCACTTCAATATCCTAAGTTGCTTAAATCTCATTGATTTAGCCTAGGAAGGAGTCACAGTGATATATTTATTTACATTATTTGTGTATAATCTTTAAAAAAAAGTACTTTAATTTTGCATAAAATACGATTTTATTGATTTTTTATTCAGTATGTTTTAGGCTTGGTTTTCTTTCCATTTTTTCCCGTTTTTCTCCTTCATTTCATTCATTCTCTCTTTATTATTATATTTCTTTACTCATTCACATTTTACTTTTTTTACAATTGATTCTTTATGTTTTATATATTTCTTGTCTTTTTTTTTTAATTTTATTCTTAATTTTGTACTTTCTTTATTTTCTTTCTTATTTTTCTTTTCTTCCATATTTCTTTTTTATTTTCTGTATTTTTTTCTTCATTCTTTCCTATCCCATTTCCTTTACTGATATTTCTGCCTCTTTTCTTCTCATGTATACTCCATTACACTTTTCTTACTTCTGATTTTCATTTCTGTTCTTTTTACTTTATAGCTCAAAGCACATCCACAAGTAAGTCTCTAAAGAGAACTAAATCGTTCCAATCCTGATTCCAGTCACAAGAACCAAAAATGGACTTTAGAGAATCTTTTCCACTTACTTATTTCAAACAACACATCAAAAAGTATGAGGACAATTCTCTTGAGTCACATATATAATTGACTATCAAGGACATGATCTTTCTACCTGAAGGCAATCAGATAATGGTTTTGTATCTCATGGCATCCAGTCACAAAATGTGTCTCTTATGGACACTGCCTTTTAACTTTGATATTCTTTGATTTTCCTTTTTTTGTAAAATCCAGATTGTAAAGTTATAGACAGAAAAACATTTGTTATAATCTTAAAGAACTGGCTTAGATATGCTAAGTTCAATTCTAACATTAAACTCAAAACTTCTGAAGTCTTTTTTCAGTTTTCCTTCAATTTAATTTATAATTTCTGTCTAGAAAGGTTCCTGCCAGTTAATATTAACAGAACAGGGAAAACTTGAATATATAACTCTTGATACAATATCCACCTATCCCAGCATCAATTTCATTTTTCCAGCACAGTCTGCAAAGACCACTTTTGTGGATCACCATCAGCTGGTTCCTTGTATTCTCCTTAATCTTATCCAGGATTTAAAATCTCCTTTTCAACAAGGATTTTAGCTTTGGGGAAAAACAGAAAATGCATCTGGATTGTAGGGGTGTGCTGAAAAACCTAGGTGATGCAGTGTAGAAGGGCTGAAAGATCTGTTATGCAATGAAGGTAGGCTGAATAACATGGGTGATTCAGTATAGGGTGGCTGAAAAATGGGTGATCTGATGTAGGAGGGCTGAAAGATTTAGGTGGTAAAATGTTCTTAAGCTGAAAATCTTGATAAGATGCAATGTAGGATGGCTGAACAAATTGTTGATGCCATGTAGGTAGGCTGAAAGGCCTGGAAGATGGAATGTAGAAAGGCTGAAAGATTTAAGTGATGAAATGTAAGTAGGTTCAAAGGCCTGGGAGATGCAATGTAGGTAGACCAAAACACCTGAGTGATGCCATGTAAGAATGGTGAGGTAATGTAGGTATTCTAAAATGCCTGGAAGATGGAATGTAGAAAAGCTGAAAGGCTTGAGTGATGCAATGTAGGTAGGTTCAAAGATCTGAGTGATGCCATGTAAGAAGGGTGATGTAATGTAGGTAGACTGAAAGTCTTAAAAGATGCAATGTAAGAGGTATGCAATTTAGACAGGTGAGGTGATGCAATTCAAATACTCTACAAAGTCCTGTTTTTGATTCACCATTGGCTGCCTCACTGCATTCTACTTAATCTTATCTAGTATTTAAAATTTCTTCCTTTTCAACAATGATTTTAGCTTTAGGAAAATACTGAAGTTGCAAGATGGTAACTCTTATCTCTAGGACTGTTGAAAGACATTGCTGATGCAATGTTTTGCTAAAAGATATTTCATGAAATGTGAAGAATGAGCTATCAAGAGTTTAGGGTCACAGACTCAGCAGCATAGGCATTGCTGTTGAGGTTTTGTTGCAAGTAGCTTTTTATGGGTTGGTGTTGCTAGCCCTACACCAAACCAGTTTGGAATTCAGAGACTAAGTGCCAGCCAAGGCAAGAACCCGGTCTACTTTGCTATTAAGCTGTAGAAGAAGAGAGAAAGGTGGATTTCTACTTTTCTGAGGGTGTCAGTGAATTCAACAACTAGGGTTTGAACTCAACTTATCAAGCCCATTTCTATGTTAGCCACTATGCTAGGCACGGATACTTATATCGCCCACTGAATTTTCTAATTCTTTGGCTGTCATTTGCAATTTCCCTTGATTGTATTCTGTATGGATAAAACATTTTCACTTATTTTGCTTGTTGAAAGCTTTTTTAGAATATGAGTCCCTTTCTGTTGATTCCCATGCAAATTTTAAGCATTAATATCAAATATTAATTATCATTAATTATTCAAATATTTTCCCAATCTTCAAAGCAACTTTCTGTATACTTGTTATGAATCCAGCGATCACACAGTACAAAAACGCACTCAATGACATTGCGCATATGACTGAGTAACACACACCATCCTTTTGAAAAAGTGTCTGTTTACACAGGCAAAGATCTTCTAGGGTTATTGTCAAATTACATCAACATCTAACCTGTTCATGAGATATTCTAATTTGTCTCTTTCTTTTCCTCTCTCTCTATCTCTCTCTCTCTCTCTAAATATATATATATATATATATATATATATATATATATATATATATATATATATATATATATATATATTTAAAGATTATACACAAATAATTTAAATAAATATATCACTGTGACTCATTCCAAGGCTTAATCAATGAGATTTAAGTAATTTAGGATATTGAAGTGATCCTTCCAAAATTCTCCTAGGGTCAGGTTTGTATCTTCAGTCACTTCAAAATACCTCTTAAACAAGGCAACTTTTCCAAAGCTCGCAGCCACTCCATGTTTCACTACACTGTAGATGCTCATGCTCTTTTTAAATTTTTTGAACCATCTTCGGCTTGTCTTAAATGCATATTCATCTTCAGAAGACATGCCTGGTATTTTTCTGATAAGATCCACGTACAGTGCCCTGGCCTTTGCTCATGTAATATCTTCAGACACAGAATCACCTTATAGCTGCCTCTCATTCATCCATGTCAACAACAACTCAGCATCTTTTAGTGCTTTTGGACGATGCTTGTTAATTATGCTAACATCAAGCTTTTTCTTTTTATTTCTATCTTGTTCTTTAAGATAGTGAAAATTATTGATGCAGCATGTTCATATAGATTGGTATGGTCAAAAACACGGGTACCTTCTTTGTGTTTCTGTATGATTTCCTTCTTCATTTGCACAGATATTTTCCACTCTTGTTAGTAGCAAGCAGCTTGGACTAACATTTTCCACTCACATGAAGTGGAAAGATTATATTGAATCAATTGCTATGTCTGCTACCAGGTCAAAGAATGGCTTATCAATTTTAACACCTTCAAAATGAAACTGCTCTCTTTTAATTGTCTAAGAAAACATTTTTTCCCTTCCATCAGCATGGCTGATGCTAACCTCTAGGATAGTGACTACTTGTGAATTCTCAGATGTCAGTTTTCCACTGACATGAAGTGGAAACATTATATTAAATCAATTGCTAGGTCTGCTGCAAGTAATGTTGGCTCAATATGTTGTGTTAGATAACTTTTCTCACCAGAAATTATCTTATATATTTATAGGTCTACCATTCTTCTATATTCAGAATATTGCTACTGGTGATTCTCTTATGTCTTTAGTGATTCTTGATAAAATCCACAATATTATTGGTCCTAACCTGACATCTCAGCTTCAGTCACTTTCCCACCACTATAATGTAGCTTACCTGTGCCTTTTCTATAAATATTTTAATGATAATTGTTCTTTCTTTCCTCTTTGTTACTTTATGAATTTAAGTGCAAAACTTGGTTGGCAGCAAGGTTTCTTCATTTTACAGTTGAAATGGCTAAAGATGTAACCATAAGTTCTATGCTAACAGTTTCTTCTATCACACTTCTCGCTTGTGGAACTCTCATGCAGCTTCTTGCTTTCCAGTTACCTTCAATCTTCAAAACTTTAAATGCAATGACAATCATTATCTTTTGTCTCCTTAATTCTTGTTCTTTTATTGTTCTCACTCTTTTCTTTTACTCATATTGTCTTACACTCAGTAACCCCCTTGCATCTTAGTAGCTTAATTGCCTTGATTGGGGTAAAAATTTTAAAAATAAATTATATAATATATATATATATATATATATATATATATATATATATATATGTGAAAAATTTCAGCTAGATTATAATTGTGAAAGGTAAATATGAATAAAACAAAAGGAAAATTTGTCCTCTGCCTTGACAAAGTCCCTCTGAGGATGAAAGGCATCAACTAAGATAAGTTTTCCTTTAGTCTTTATTCATATTTATTAAGTTGAGTCATTAGTCATTTCCATTTTGGAAACCAATTGTAATTATGAATGTATCATCCTAACTAATAATCATACACGTGGCAATTAAAAATAAATTTAGAGAATACTGACATACCGTAATTTTAGCATAGCAGTGATAGTATACACAGTGTATAAATGTAAAAATGGTATATTCCTCCGTAATATTAGAAATTGATAGGTTTGTTCTACCCAGTGTGGCAAATTCAACAACCAAATACTTTTCTTGATCATTACAAAATGCTTTGATGGAGAAAATTTTCTCTAATGAAAATCAAATTCAAGAGTTTGTCAAAAGCTTTTTTTGCATCAAAACTCAGCTAATTTTGCTCAAACTGTATCTAAGAGCTGCTTGATAAATGATAATATGTAATTGTAAATAATGCTAAATATATAATTGAATAAAATATAATTGTACTTTATTTTTTGAATAATAAAGATGATAAACAAATTATTTATGAGTCAACATAATATATATATATATATATATATTATAAATTAATTGATTTAAAATATGTTTTTTTCGCTGCACATTTCTAACCATGTTTCAAATATATATATATATATATATATATATATATATATATATATATATATATATATATAAAAAGGGACATTGAAGACAACATCCAGACTGATTCATGCTTAAATGCAATTGTCAACCTCAACAGCAATATCTATCATGGGTAATTTGTCAGTCTAAACTCTGTTTTGAATATCTTACCTGCCCATTTTCACATTTTATGAAATATCTTTTAGCAAAATATTGCATCAGCAATGTCTCGCAGCAGTCCTAGAGATGAGAGTTAACTTCCTGTAAGGCATTTTGTCCCAATAATTCTACTTATTTGATAATTTAGTAAGAAATCCCGGTCCGAAATGTTCTAGAAAAAAAACTAGAAAAATGGAAAATTGAATGTCTTTGACTAGATGCGAGGGTGTCTCATCAGTATCCTAACGATGTTGTGACAGTATCCTTTTGCTTGATATATTGTC